TGTGATCTATGAGATCGCTCGATTCTGTCGGTCGTCGGTCATTATAAATAATAAAATAAATAAAATAATAATAAAATAAACCTTTATTATTTTCTCCCACAAATTGTACATTGCATATTTTATCTTTTAAAAACATATATATTTTTATAAACAAAACAAAGAGTACAAAAATTTGTGGGAGACGGGAGTCCAAACTAGGATACCCTGTGCTATGAATCTCCAGGCTCCCCATTTAGAATGATCAACTAGATGTTTTCTTTTTTTATTTATATGTATATAGCAGAGACTTTTTTCCGTTTGCGAGAGAGCATACGCGCAAGTGGTTAATCTTATTGTGTGTGTGTGTGTGTGTGTGTGTGTGTGTGTGTGTGTGTGTGTGTGTGTGTGTTAACTCGTACGTGGTATGTTAAGATGCGATTTGCAGTAATTGTTCTGGTTTTTCATAATCAAGTTTAAGCAGCTAATCTGAACTTTTCTTTTTACATTCAAATTTTGTTAGGTTAATGATACGGTGTAATTTGTTTGCTTTGTTATATAATCTACTACCTTTAAAACTGAAAAACTTTTGATCAAAAAATGTTTTTACCGGAATAATTTCACAGACTTCATAATCTCTCCTCGTACCAGAGTTCCTTATATTATCCAACAAATGAATACAACTATGTTTTTTTAAGATTATTGATAATATGTAAATTTTTCGAACCGTTAACACATTGGCTTCTGCGTATAAGTTCGTAGTCGGATACGTCCTAGGTTTTTTCAAGGCAATTTTTAATATCATCCTTTGTACCTTTTCAACTTCCATCATTAATGTTTTACTAGAGCCTCCCCATACAGAAATGTCATAGGACAGGATAGATTTACCTAACGATTCATATACAGTTTTAATTAAATTCCAATTTGCAATATGTCTTAAGTTTTTAAATATGTAGATAAGCTTTCTAATCTTTTGAACTTAATAGTTTATATGTTCTTTGAAAGTTAGATTCTTGTCTATTATTATGCCGAGGTACTTTATGTTATTTGTATTTTCAATATCAGGACATTTACAATTTGAAATAGAGGTCATATCACATGAATGAATGCTCTTTGGTCTGTGGGAGCTCGTATTTAGTTTTGAGCGAACACAAATAAATACTTAATTTTACTGTTTATTTATTTATTGCATAGTGTTCTGAATTTTACTGTGTGTAACTGATTTAATATTTTGAATAATATTTACTAATAATAATAATGTCCTCCAGATCGAATTTCAGTCACGGTGGCCAGTCTCCACGGAGACAAGACATTTGCGCAGGGCATTATATTGCCTAAGTGTATAATGTAGTGTAGTGTAAGTGCCATAGTGCCGATGGGACGGTAAACCGACATGACCGGAGAAAGATCAGGCACAGGAGTAAGTGGTTTCTGTAGCCTATAGATATCTACATCTATTCTCTCGATTACAAAGCAAAATGCCTTGTTTCCAGTAAAAATAGGTCTCCGGTTCTCTACACTCACCATAAGAAACACAGCAGCATTGAACTGCTATTTTACGCTGGTGTTCTGTAAGAGCGTGGTCCTTCTCCGGTCGAGCCGACCCATTCGTGCTACAACTACACTACTAATATAACTGCAGCATGTCTCTACCACGTAAAAAGTTGTGTCTTCTGGGGATTGAACTGGACTAGATTTAGTCACCCCGAGACTTTGTTTAACAACAGTCGACTTCAGACACAAGTTTGTTCCGATACTAGGCGTTGTTTTCCCGAGAAATATTGGCACGGGCGGTGTATGGTAATGCTAGTAAAACTGTTTCAAAGATTTGCCTCATAAGATCGAATTGAAATACACTCAATATTATAAATATACATGCATTCAACAGAATATAACATCCATATATCTCTGGAGTCCCACTAATTAGTGTGTGTACAGAAACTTGTTTGCCTCCCTAGACATTCAGTGGAGACAGGATGACATAGGTAGCAAATATTCGCAGCGATGGATTGTAAAAATTATAACTAGAATAAATATTATTTTAAAAACTATGTAGTCTGAGTTTCCAATTAACTACAGTTTGAACAAAAAAGTTTAATATTATATATCGAACGCGTCGTCACAAGCAGCTCTGTTTTACACATAATTTAAGATTTGTTTATTGCTTTAGAATTTCTTTAGTACTCTTTAGACTTCTCGTCGATGTAGTAGTTTGTTAAAAATTACTCGCAATTTGTTGTATTAATTTCAATTTAATACTTGGAATTTGATGTGGCTTTGTGCTAAATTGTTTTAGTATTCTGCTGCTAAACAGAAATTATAAAAGTCGCCCAAAAATATAATATTCAGGTTGGTAAGTTAATACAAATATGTTTTTATTATATTTATATATATATTTTTAATTATTATAAAAGTTATAATAATTTATGTATTTTGTAACGTCAAATTTTATCAAGATTGCAATTTGTACTTCTAATGTAATGTTATAATTTTATTCATCAGTATATAATAGAATTTTCTCATGAAATTTTTAACGTGGAGTTTTTATTAAATAATTTCGTAGACCACGTATGGTAAAAAAATAAGGAAGCATTGCTGCGAAAACTTGTTTCTGTGTTATTATCATCATGATGAAGTTAAACGGGCGACTTTAAATTTAAATGATATTTTTTGTTAAATTTATTATCTTGTAATGATATAAAGTAATTATATATCCATAAGTTTATTTAATCAAAAATACATCGGGAATCTACTAAAATAACTAAAATCCTTAAATTTGATTCTGCTTTATAAATTAGTTTTGAAAGAAAATCGGAATACGCTGGTAAAATAAAGTTTTATTCTTAATACTAGCTGTGCCAGCATCTAGAATTTAGATAAATATTTTGATTTCCAAAAAACTTTCTCTTTTCTTTTTATCAAGTTTTTTTTTATCATATTTGTATATTTTCATCCGATTTAGAGCTATGTTAAAAATTTCAAGCCTTTAGCTCATCGGGAAGTTAGTATAAAAACAATTGTTATATTCGACCCGAACAGACATACACAAAAGCGAGATAATAGAAACGTGGTAAAACAGTAAGCTGTAGAAATACATCATTCATAACTATAACTTATTAAAGGATAAATTTAGGGAACTCTTAAACAAGCATATCGATTATCAAATCCATAGCTACATTTGTCGATTTTATATCATATCGAGAACTATATGAATGCATATCGAGAATTATATGAATGCATTACTTCGAAGATTGTCCCTAATTCAACACCTAGCCACAGAGATTGGTAAGCAGAGAACGGATATCCTCACAATGGTAACGTTGTTGAACCATTCTGTGTAATTTGTGTTCAGAGCTTTGGATGGATTTTCCGGTAGCCAAAATAAGGTGCACTCACTGATTGAGTCTAATGGTCTTAGGTTCAAATCGTAAGTAGGGCCAGAAGTTATCGGATTTATTCTGTCAAGAAATTTTCAGTAGATGCTCAAAGTGAGGAAGCTGATTGTGTTTCACCCTCTTGTCCGGATAGCACGTAAATTCGTTAGTCCTGCGCTTGATAATCTTTCTGGTCGTGTCGGATTGCCGTGCCATCGAACAATGACTATCGGACCATGTGAGTGAAGAGATAGGAAGTGCATCTGTATTAGTGTACATACTCGTGCAATATAATGCTGTCCTACGCAGATGGCTAGTCTCTTTTGAGAATTTCGGTTATATCGACCAGTCTCAAAAGAGACTTTCTTACTTGACTTTCTTGTTGACTTAAATGACATTAAAAGTCTTAAAAAATCATTGTACGAAAATTTTCTCACGTTAAATTCATGCTGACGTGACACAGACAATTTTAAATTTACCGCCAAATCATAAACAAATGACAAATTAAAAAATACATACACAATAATATTGGCAAAGAGTTCCATTTTCAAAATTTGAACTTATTTTTTATTACATCGTTTACAAGTGGCCAGTTCTAAAAACTTTCAGTATCGCCCTTGTATTTTCAAAGTGGTAGATTCATGCTGCAGCTACATTATGATTGTAGCACGAATTGTAGCACGGGTGGGCTCTACCGGGTTAGGACCAAGCTCTCACAGAATACACCCGTAAAACTACAGCTTAATGCTGCTGTGTTGTGTATGGTGAGTGCAGAGAAGGGTCTCCAGACCTTTTTTAGTAGAAACGAGGCATTCAACCTTAGGGTTGAAAACCAACTGCATTTTGATTCTTTATTGACGATAGATGTATAGATGTCTATGAGTCACAGCATCCACTTACCATCACCTGGACTATGTGCTCATATATTTTATAAAAAAATATGTAATAGTTACTAGAAATAGATCCGAACAACATTCGTTTGCATATATTATCTATGTAACCGAAAATATTCCTTATGATCTTCACTTTTCTACCGAGTTCAAAATGGAGGAAGAACTCAATTCGACTGTATGCTGTTTTTGTGTGTTACCTCATAACTTTTTTTCTAGGTGAACCAATTCCGAGGATTCTTGTTTTATTTTTCACCTGGTGCTTCTCATGTGGTTCAATTTGATCAAGTTCTAACTAATAGTTTTTGAGTTATCCTTAATAATTTATATTGAAGTGGATTGTACAAAATTTTTAATTTTACCTCTTGTTACATAATTAAACAAATCGAAAACTATAAATATCGGAACAAAGAATTAATTACCTAAAACTAAGTTGTTTTTAGGTAATTAATTCTTTTTGGTAGTAACCCATTAACGTTAAAACATAAAGAAGAACAACTGTACCACTTATTTCGTAAATATGGATAATCAATAGTTTCAATATACAATGTGTTATGTACAAACAAGCGAGTACACAGTCCCCCTGATAGTAAACCTATATATAGTGGCCTATAGACATTAATCACTATATTATTACTTGTTTTAAAATTGTCTCAATTTTATTTCAGGCTTTCTAGATCCTATATATGCATCAGCTGGATGAAGTTAAACTCATATCTACCTGATTGAATCATATCCTTGAGAAAATTTATTATTTAATATGGGGTAAGTAATTAATTGAGCCGTAGTAGCTCAAATAGTTAGCGCTCAGTGTAAGTTTCACAGTACGCGAGCAGCCCGGGTTCGATCCCCGCCGGCACCAATGAAATTATATTAGTTGCAATTTTAAGTGCTGATTTACCACATGCTCGGAAATAAAAGAAAACGTCGTGAGGAAACGTGCATGTCTGAGAAATAAATATTTCAAAGCCACATGAGGACCGCCAAGTGTGAAGTTCCCTAAAACCACTTGAATAGGTTACCACCGTAGAGATAGCATCGGTTATTAAACTTCTGATAAAAATATATTATGTTTTATTATGAAAAAATGCATGCTAGTCAATCAAAACAGAACTGAATCTCTCGATCTCACTAATTATATTTTAAAATGAAAATTTAGCGATCCTTAAATTTTTATATGATTTCAATATTTTTCTTATATTTTATATTGAACGTATTTTCATTTATAACTATGCGAGTTGATAGTCAAAAGGAAACCAATATAAACCTAAAAACTAGGGCACCATTTTCTTTAAAAACCAAACAAAAAGTTAAATCCGGTGCTGCCTATAACCCTCCTAGTAACTAGGGGAGGTCTGAGATCAGCAGAGGAACGTATATAAGTTGTTACTTTACTTTTTTTTACTTTAAGTAGGTAATTAATATAATACCTTCCATTGTCCTGTGTAGTAAATTAGCATTAGCAACTTGAGCAAGAATCTTATACAGTGATCTCTAATCTGCGATGACCAAGTAAGGAAAGGTTACGACAGCAATATTTAATAAATTTATGCTGTAATATACAGTAATGAACGAGCTTACAATAACCAACTACCATCTAAAACATGTTGGAAGTCGATGGATACAGGTAGCTTAGAACCGTGTTTTGTGACATTTTTAGGGGGAGGCCTATATTTGGCAGTGGATTTATGAAGGATTGTAAAGATTTTTTTAAAGAATAAAGGTGACAAACTAGCACACAGTCCAACCAATGGTACGAGAATACTATATCCCATAAACATCTACATCTATTCTCAGTTAAGAATCACAACGACGATTTCGACGGCTCCGTGGCGCAGTGGCTTAGCAATCAGTTGTTGCGCTAGGGGCCGCGGGTTCGAATCCCGCACGGAACAAGTATTTGTATGGCCTACAAATAATTGTTCCGGGTCTGGATGTTTGTCCTTGTGCAATTTATGTTTGTAAACTGCCTCCACGACACAGGAGAAAATCCTAATGTGGGGTTAACGTTTTTAAACGAAATGAATGAAATGAAATAAAAATGCAGTAACAGTAAGTTAACAGTGGTAGAGCCACGCGGCAGCTTTTGCTGTCGCACGGATGGGCCGGCTCGAACCGGGGTGATACCACGACGTCACAGAAAACCAGCGTGAAGTAGATGTTTACCTCTGCGTTTTGCTTGGTGAGTGCAGGTGGCCGGAGGCCCTTTTTACTGGAAATGAGGCATTCCATCTTAGTCCTCACGGGTGACAACGCATCTACATTTTGATTTGTAATAGAAGATAGATGTAGACTGTCGTTGTGTCCTTAGTGGTGAGTGTTTCTTTAATTATGTGTGTGTTAATTTAAGTATTTATAAGTAACTTATATTGTTATATAGGAGTGTGAAACGATAAACTGTTGCGTTGCCGACAAACTGGCATACAGTTTGGCAAAGTTTGAAATGTAAATTATGTAACACTCTTTCTATGAATAAATAAAAAAAAAAAAAAGATGTCTATGGGCCGCAGCAACCAATTACCATCAGGTGGACTGTGTGCTCGTTTATCACCCTTTACCTATAAATAAAAAAAAACTTATAAATGCAGATGCGTGGTCACCCCTGCGGCTAAGATGGAATGCCTCGTTTCTATTAAAAAGAGATCATTCATCAACCCGAGTAATCCACTATAGAACTTGAGCTTATTTTTGGGACGATTATCTTTAATCGCCACGCTTTGCGCTTGGATCGAAGATCACAGTACCAGAGGTTTTACACTTTTGACACTGTTCCTCTTTGCTGATCTCGATATTTTACGTTTGTCATAAACGATATCTGCAATGTGCCGTATAACATTACTTGACCTTCTCCTGGGAAGAAACCTTAGAACGCTGACAACATATTATACTTGTAATTTGACAATGACACTCGTTACTTTAAGCTCGTTACTTTAAGCGACCCATCTGTTAAGAAATAATATGGATTACGTGCTTTAGTTATTTTTCTGAGGTATTACGTGATAATAACAACTTTTGCACAGATAACCTTATATTGTTTATTTTTGAAGATATCAAGTTGCATTTTATTTATTGCCTGAGTACGAAATGACATTACGTCCAATGACCTCTTACGTCGAATGCTCTTCATCAGCATAGATTTGCTTAACCTTAACGGTAAAGTCACGAGGTTCAAAATTGTTGAACTAATCTATTACTCTTCTGTGAATTGCTGTGTTTCGTATGATGACTGTAGAGAATAGGAGACCGTTTTTACTGAAAACGAAGCACTCCATCTTAGTTGTCAGGGGCTACAACGCATTTACATTTTTATTCTTAATTGTGGGTAGATGTAGATGTCTATGCGCCACAGCATACACTTATCATTAGTTGGTGTGCGTTTGTTACCCTTATTCTATAAACACGACGGGTTATCGCTTTAATTGTCTCTATATTTAAACCCAAATATTTTCTAATGTATAATACTCGTAAATATCAATGTCGATTACCTTTGTTGTTTTATAAAATGTAATATTTCAAAGGCCGAGAAGTTCTCAGTAAAGTGTAATATGTATAAGGCCGAGATGTTCTCAGTAAAATGTAATATGTCGAAGGTCGAGAAGTTCTCAGTAAAATGTAATATGTCGAAGGCCGAGAAGTTCTCAGTAAAATGTAATATGTCGAAGGCCGAGCAGTTCTCAGTAAAATGTAATATGTCGAAGGCCGAGAAGTTCTCAGTAAAATGTAATATGTCGAAGGCCGAGCAGTTCTCAGTAAAATGTAATATGTCGAAGGCCGAGAAGTTCTCAGTAAAATGTAATATGTCGAAGGCCCAGCAGTTCTCAGTAAAATGTAATATGTCGAAGGCCGAGGAGTTCTCAGTAAAATGTAATATGTCGAAGGCCGAGGAGTTCTCAGTAAAATGTAATATGTCGAAGGCCGAGAAGTTCTCAGTAAAATGTAATATGTCGAAGGCCGAGCAGTTCTCAGTAAAATGTAATATGTCGAAGGCCGATGAGTTCTCAGTAAAATGTAATATGTCGAAGGCCGAGGAGTTCTCAGTAAAATGTAATATGTCGAAGGTCGAGAAGTTCTCAGTAAAATGTAATATGTCGAAGGCCGACGACTTGGATCGGGCCAAAAAAATCAGTTATTGAGTTTTTCTGCCAAGAAGTTGGCGGTGTTTCACCCCCGTGCCTCGGAAAGCGCGTAAAGTCGTTGGTCCTACGCCTAATCCCTTTTCGGTTGTATCGGATTGCCGTCCTATCGGATTACGATATTTAGGGAAAAGATAGTGCACCTGTGCTTGTGCATGCACTCGGGCACTATCATACTGTCCTGAGAAGATGGCTAGTCTTAGTGGAGACTAGCCGCCGTGACCAAAATACGGTCCGGAGGACATTATCATTCAATAACCGTCGAATTTTTTGCATTCATATCATCTAAAAACTGGTTTTTCGACAGTTATACGTGGTAGAGCCATGCTGCAGCTATATTAGTAGTATAGTTGTAGTACGAATGGATCGGCTCGGCCGGGGAAGGACCACGCTCTCATAGAATACCAGCGTAAAATAGTAGCTTAACACTGCTGTGTTTCGTATGATAAGTGTAGAGATCCGGAGATCCTTTTACTGGAAAAGAGGTACTCCATCTTAGTCCTCACGGGTGAAAACGCATCTGCATTTTGATTCGCAAACGAGGACAGATGTAGATGTCTATGGGCCACAGCAACCACTTACCATCAGGTGGATTGTGCGCTCGTTTGTCACCCTTTCCTATAAAAAAAGTTTCTTTGTCGAATATTTGTTTCCATGTACTACATACTCAAAGTCATAGTAAAAACGTTTTATTCAATTTAGCCTTGTTAAAGCTGTTACGAACTTCTAACTAAAATCTAAACCGGCTTGTATCTAAACCGGCTTGAATATAGACCGGCTCGCCATAACAAGACCTTCTCAACCGGCAAGAAATTCTGAGTACCTTTTTAAAGCCATGCTACAATGTTCCATGTAATTATTGTAATTACAACTTGTTTATCTTGGCATATAAAATTCAGGTGTGCGTGCATCGATATAAATATATATATTGATATACATATATCGATATACATATATACATATATATATATATATATATATATATATATATATATATATGTGTATATATATATATATTTATATATATATATATATATATATATATATATATATATATATATATATATATATTGTACTTATCACTCAATAAATAATAAAATAAATATCATTTTATTGCCACTTTTAAACACATGTTTACATATAAACTAATTATTTAATCTTAATTTAATTTAGGCAAACGGAGGTGACTCAGCTTTTGCTCACATGGAACTAGATCCCATGAAGCGCTGGTTTTCAGGCACTCCTTCTTCACTGAGATGTTACACGGGTGTTATGAGAATTTCGAGTTCCCCAATCACCTCTTTCATTTACTCATCTATCATTGGAATTTAACATGGTATGGTTGTGAACTTTCATAATTATTAATTAATAATTCTTGCATTCGGGCGCGCGCGCGCGTGTGTGTGTGTGTGTTTTGTGTGTGTGTGTGTGTGTGTGTGTGTGTGTGTGTGTTTGTGTGTGTGTGTGTGTGCGTGATTGTTCAGTTAATAATACACGGAGATGTTTTATAAGGGTTATATCATAATGTTAAAAAAAAGTCTCTTAAGTTTATGTATTTCCAGTAGGTATGTTTCAAGTTTTCTGCAGCAATTTGCCGCTTCAGCAATGCTGATTTATATTTAGCTTTGAACTGTTTGAAATGTTACTGACTGGTAAATTCAAAAAGTGGTCGTTGATTTTATTGGGGTCATTAAGATGTTCAGGAATTATGGGTTTGTGCATGTAATCAAACTGGGTACTGTTTTTTATGTTTTTCCAAAGTAGAGTCGGATTTTTCATATTGTTATTTACAAAATTGTTATAGTAGGCTTTTCGTTCTATTTCAATTGTTGCAGTAACAAAATTTTGGTAATAATCTTTCGAGCTGTCTTTTTTGTCTTTCTGCGCTTTTGTTAGAGCTTTATCGCGAAGTTTCATCATAAATTTAACCATGTTTGTAATCCATGGTTTAGGCTTATCTTTGAGAACAACCTTACAAATTGGTGCATGTATGTCAAATAATTTTATTATGTACATGTTAAAAGTTTTAACCATTTCATCTACATTGTGTAGATTATATATAGATTCCCAGGGAATAAGTTTTAAGTCCTCTGTAAACTTATCTTGATTTATATAATATAATGGTCGTTGAATTCTTACTTCTTTGTTTAAATTGGGTTTTTTGATATCTAAATCAACAATTACTAATGCATGGTCACTTAAACAGTGGTTATGTATCACATCAATATATTTGCATTTTAAAGGGCTATCAGTCATAACGAGGTCTATTATGGTTTGGGAATGGTCGGTGATTCTAGTCGGTTCCTTTACGAGTTGCTGAAGACTGTAATGATAACAAAAATGTTTAAGTTCTTTCACCTTTGAAGAGCTTATACAAGCCATATCAATATTGAAATCGCCCAGGATACATGTGATGTCACATCGTGCCATAGAGTTCATTGTCTCACTAAGTGCATCTAGAGTTTCTTGAACACTAACATACTCCGGTCTATATGCTGTACCGATTGCCATAGTGGTTCCTGGTAGTTGAACTTCTAGCCACATTTGTTCCAGTGGAGATCTTGGATGTTCTCGTATCCTTGTACTTATATTCTGTCTTACATAGAAACCCACTCCTCCGCCTTTTTTAACTTGTCTTGCTCTATGTATAAATTTGTAGTTCGGTATCACTGGTGCCAGTGCCTCTTCTCCTGCCTTTAGCCAAGTTTCATTAAGGGCAAGGATATCAGGTGAGTAGTTAAGAAAAGTTACAAATAATTCTTCTTTTCCGGTATTTATGGATCTAGCGTTTAATAACCCTAATCTCAAATAATTTTGCTTTAAGCTTGACATTATCGCGCGTCAGGGTTAATACATTACTGGGATAAAAACTATAAAGATAAACGTTACGTTGTAAGTGAGTGTGATCTATTTGTGTGAATGTGTAGAGTGTGAGTGTATTTGTTTGTGTTGCAAGAATATATCTTAAAAGTATATTACATCTTAAAACATAATCTATATTAATATAACAATAAATGTTTATATAATAGTTTAAATTAAATGAAATGAGAAGACATATGAGATCAAATATCAGGCTTTCCAAAAACCCTAGAGAAGTCTGCTTCAGTGCGCAACCGATGTCGCGGTGTCCCTTGGTCCTTACGTGCGTAGATTTTTCCGTCTCGCGTCCACAGATACTTGAATTTAAGCTCGCGGGCTAGAGCGCGCGCTTTTTGAAACAGAAAACGATTTTGCTTGGTCAGACGTTCATTAATGTACAAGGGTCCAACCGGTCCAGGGAACTGCAAGCCTTCGGTGTTTAGATCGCGTTGAATTCGCGCGGCTCGTAATAAGGCATCCCGGGTAGTACGACGCGCTAAGCGAACCACGAGAGTGCGTGGTCGCATATGCGCTTCACTCTCTGTAGTCACTCAATGCGTGCGTGTGTTCGTTTCTCTTTATTATTGTCCTACTAAAGGGCTTGACCAATTTTGATGAAGTTTTTATTGGCTACCTATGGGTTTGGACCCGGTAAATGATTATATTGTTGAGATCCAGTAACCTCCTGTACAAAGTCGCGACGTGTGGCTAGTACTATAGAACATACCTATACAATATCAACCAATATTTAAAAATGTCAGTTCTAACAAAACATGATATAATATCAGTAACCAACTCTTTTGCAAGTACAGGGTAAGAGTTAATTCAACCCATCGTTTCATCAATCGTCATCATCAGCCTACGGTAGTCCACTGGTGGACATAGGCCTCTCCCAAGGCACGCAACATAGCCCGGTCTTCGGCATTCACGCATCCATTTGCTGCCAGCCGCCTTGCACAGATCGTATATCGTTTATTTCAATATATTGATCTATTTTCATATTTCCTTAAGGGGCTACTCCATGCGAACGACCTTGAGCATTTGGTGTGCCGCGCCGACTCGCTACAATATAATATCACGTAAGAAATATGTAAGGCGCCACCTACTGTAAGAACGTAGTATTTTTTCATCATCAATAAACTATTTTATGGAAATACACACAGCGTACAACGATAAATGTATCTCAAATTTTTTATTCGGTATATTAGTTGCATTATATTAGAGTTATGTATTCTCATATAATATTATCTAATTATGAAATTTTATAATTAATTATATATTAAAAATGAAGCATTGAAAATTGTGAGTTCAAAAGTTACCTACTCACTATAGGTAAATAGATAGATAGCTCGCCTTTTGTACAAATATTTGGTGCAATAAAGAATAAATAAATAAATAGGATGTTTCGCAGAGTGAGAGTAATATAGAATGAGAGTCGTGGAGGCAGTTTACAAACATAAATTGCACAAGGACAAACATCCAGACCCGGAACAATTAATTGTAGGCCATACAAATACTTGTTCCGTGCGGGATTCGAACCCGCGGCCCCCAGTGCAACAACTGATTGCTAAGCCAGTGCGCTACGGAGCCGTTGCCGGTTTATAGCTAAAGTGACCATACGTCCCGTTTTGAACGGGACTGTCCCTTTTCTCAGTCACCTGTCCCATTGTCCCCAAACAAAGCTCCGGGACACAAAATTGTCCCGTAACTCGTTGGATGGAAGTATTCAAAGTCAACAATCTTCAACATAATTTTTTTTAATCGAATATATTTTATGTCTCCCTGGTACAAATGCTCCAGTAGAAAGAATATTTTTTTTATTTTGAACAAATTGTGGACGTCTGAAAGAAACACTTACGGTTCCAGTTCTAAAGGCGATGTTGTTAACAAAGGTAACCATAAAAAACTTAAGCAGAATTTTATTCTTATTTAAAATTATCACCAACTTTATTAAAGCAAATTTAATCCACTGACAAATGTAATTAATAATTAAAAAAAATATGTTGCATTTAATAATTACCGTCTATACCGAATATAATTTTATATTGAACACTAATTGTGTAAAGTTATAGTTTTTAGAGTGTAAATAAACCCATGTCCTGTTTTGAGTTAAAAAATAAATGGTCACTTTAGTTTTTTTTAGTTAAATTTAGTTTAAAAAAATTTTAGTTTATAGTAAAAAGTAGGTATATTAATACGTACTTAGATACTTTTTACCGAATTAGGGTAGAAGCCCCTAATACCAGTCATGCCCCTAATTGCAGTCTTTTCGCCTTTTTACTCCATAAATAAGATTTCTAGTAGTCTTAACTACAAATATTTTCATCTAAAAAATTCTTTGTACCTAGAGGAAACTATATTTATTCAAATATTACCTCGCAGTTTTAAACCTAACAGTGTTAAAATCAAAACAGGTACGCAACGAAAAACGATCATTTTCCTAATTATTTGACAAGTTATGATCCCGGTAAAATTATGCTTACTTTACATTATCTCATATATAGGCTTTTTGATTTGTATGAATATGACTATAGACATAGTAATGCAGTTATTTTTGTTTGAATTTACAACTTATTTATTTTCTTTTAGTGGAAATTAATGGGACTGTAATTAGATAATATAAGAAATGTATGGAGTGCATAATGTCAGCCGCCCGGCTGTTATTTGGTTTGACGTACCTAATAAGATGTACCTAATTTCAGCCACGTAATATAAATCAGAGCTGCCATAAACTGGAATAAATAAGGGAGTTATGATCAATTCGTCTGTTTTAAAATTGGTTTTAGATTTTAAAGTTTAGCAAAAGATGTACTAGCTTTTCTCTCTGACATTCGGCGTATAGAACATCTTATGTACTCAATTATTTTTTTTTTTGAAAAAGAAGAAAAAACAAGCAATAAATAAAAACAAAAACGGGCCAAAAACTCATAACTGACTTTTTGACAAGAACCGGGATTCGAAACCGAGACCTCTTGATCAGCATTCGCACTACTACAACCACTAGACCAACGAGGCGGTACTATACCTAATAAGATATTGTGGTTGGGTGATAATATTGAATTAGCCTTTTGTAGTGTAAATTATAATATTTGTTGAAATTTTAATTATGGATTCGAACCTTACATGCTAATGGTGCTTCATTTTTTTATTTGCATTTACTTCAAAGAAAATACACGCAAAAAGCTTCATCGCGCAGTAAAAAACACAACAAATATATATATAACTAATACGAAAAATTATACCCAAAACAAACAAATAATACTACCTATAAATAACCTAATAAGTAATATTATTATCGACTAATATGACGTGAGTGTATGTGCTGGTCGACGCTCTAACGACACGGGCTTCGCGTCGAAGAGCTCAGGGCTCACTGACTTCAGCAAGCCCGTGAGCAGTGAATATGCCCAAATTTTAAAATAAATTCTTAATAAAATCAAATTTCGGTCTTTTGAAAAAAAATTTTCTATAGAAATATTCATTAATAAATTGCCTATCTATTGGTGTAAATCGCAAAATAAAATAATACTTACTTTACGAGGAGATGCATGTTATCAATAATAATTTCACATTTATGTGGTTTCGTTGTAAGGAGATTATATTAATATTTATTCCTTTAAAAAAAATTGGATATAGCTTTTATGGAATCAAGATTATGTAGAAATATAATGTGTTTTTTATTTGTTGATATATCTTTTAAATAAAAAGTAGATAGCTTCTAAAAACAGCACAAATAACGACCAGCGCGACATTTTGCTCAACCTGCGCCTTAACAAGTTTTTTAGTTTTTGATGTGTAACATCTTTCCTCTCGCTTTCCCGAAATCTGTGGAAGTGATTTCGTGAAATGGGAAGGAAGTGTGAAACCGGGGAAGCGGGCGCTATTTGATTTGACAATGAGCGCGTGCGGTAGTAGTAAAGTGTACTGTTATGTAAACTTATTTATATGTGTAAACTATATTAATAAATGTATTTGCTGTTGATAATATGTGTCTAAAAAAAGTGCAGATCATTGATAAAAAATGCAAGTAAGTAACAATGAATGATCTTTTTTACTTATTATAAGGCAGTGCTTGACCAATATCCCACCTGATGGTAAGTAGTGATGTAGCCTTAGATGGTAAATCGCACTGTCTTATCGTAACAAAAACCTATTCACTCTTGCCTTGAAAACGCCCAGATTGTATTCGGACGGAAAGATAGACGCCGGCAAATTATTCCACTCCTTTATTGTACGCATTACAAAAGACGAAGGAAACCGTTTGGTTCTAATGCGTGGAATATCGACAACAAAGGGGTTGCCCGACCCGCCGACCGCCTGGTTTTCCGATGGTGGAAAGGAGAGGAAGGAATTAAAGCGTGTAATTCTCTGTGCACACTTACCGAAATGCATCCTATAAAATACCGAGAGACTGGCTACTCTGCGCCTGTATTCGTGGCTGACAAGATTGGTTTCAAACAAATCAAGATCGCCAATGAGCCTCTTAGCACGTCTTTCCACTGAGTTCAACGCTATCAGGTGGCATTTTCCAGCACCAGCCCATATGTGACAACAGTACTCCATACACGACCGGACTTGCGCTTTATATAAGCTAAGAAGCTGCCCCGGGGTGAAGTACCGCCGAACCCTTGTAGGGACACCAAGTTTCCTTG